ATTGTCTTAATCTTTTTTAAACCACTTCCGGAAGACATAACAGACTTTCAAGCTTATTCTATAAAACTGAAGTGGAACTTAGCATCAGAAATATGCGGCTGAACATCTCAGGCATTTAACCAGACAACTGGGCATCTTTAAGACCGCATTTACGCATCTCTCCTCTCAAACGCGACTGACACTATCACAGAAAACATCAACATCCTCTTCCCTCAGGTACAGTGCTTGTGTGCCAGAAAATGGCAGCTGATGTGTTTCTCACAGTCTCAGAAAGCTGACACTTGAAACAGCTTTAATGTGTGTCTTTGTTAGGGTATCACCTAGCTGTGGGAAATCTTGAAGACATATTTGAGAGGCTCAGAGGAAAACAGCTCCCAGGTGAATTCACACATGTTAATGACATGCTAACTGCAACTATCACTTGATAGTCTCTGTGTGAAATCACTCGAGACATTAACTGCCTAATGAGTCATTCACAAATAAAAAAAGAAACTGTTTCCTCACTTCAGTGCTAGAGGCTGTTCACAAGCTCATTTGGGGAGGGAATAGCAAGGCCTGAAGGTAGAGACCTTGCCAAATCATAATGGATGTGAAGAAACCCAAACATAGAGAGCTGTTTCAAGCTTGGGCCCCATAAAGAACATAAGAACATAAGAGACGCCAATGTTGGATCAGGCCAAAGGCCCATCCAGTCCAACACTCTGTATCACACAGTGGCCAGAAATACCAGGTGCCATCAGGAGGTCCACCTGTGGGGCCAGGACATTAGAAGCCTTCCCACTGTTGACCCCCCCCAAGCACCAAGATGACAGAGCATCACTTGCCCCAGAGTCCCTATCTATACCTTGTGGCTAAGAGAACTGGTCCTACAAATGGGAGCTACAGAAGAGGATGATGGTGGCAGCGAGCAGACATGACTCATCATAAGGGGACGGATGCCAGCATTTTGAATCTGTGGATTTATCCTTAAGATGTTCTCCATAAAACTTCAGTTTCAAGAAGGACCCACCTTATAAAGGCACCAACGTACCCCTCCTCATCTCCCTGACCCCCCCCCCCCGAACTACTGCCCTTTTCAGATGTTACAATTGCTCACACTAGGAGCCTATCAATTGCACCTAGATCCTCCCAATATGTTTGGTCAACACACAGATCAACCACACACTTATGTACCTCGTTTATACCCTGACTTGGAACCCAAAGCTTTGCCATCTGCCTTGAGTCCAAGTGAGAAAGGTGGACTACAAATGACATCAGTATAAAGAAAGCAGCTTACATCATTCTCCTCACCTCCGTTTTATCCTCACAACAACCCTGTGAAGTAGGTTAGTAGGCATAGTGTGTCTGACTGGCCCAACGTCACCCAGCAAGCTTTCGCGACAGAGTGGGGATTCGAACCTCGATCTCCACAATCCTCTAACCACTACACCACAGCAGCTCTCGCATGCAACTCCAGTAGATGAAAACTGACCACAGGATTTTTCAGGGTTCGCATTCACACATATCAAGGCTGTACGGGCATACCAAATACATACACTGCCCTGTTCACACAAGACGGTGACCGCATGCAGTGGGAAGATCACAGGCAGCAGAATCATGGGCTCCTAAGTATGCATGACTAACGCCTGAAAAGTGGTCTCACTGATCTCACCGATCACTTTTTCTGTTTAATAACCCCCGGAGACCCGAAATCTGTAGCTACCGCATAAAGCAGCTGTCGTGACAAAAAGTTAAAATGAAATCCAATTAGACTTTTTTTGCCATGAGTCTGACCCTTCCCCCCCACCATAGATTACCCGGCACAAATCAGATGGTGCCTCCTGTCCATTATCTCAGACACTACGAACAAACAAGGCACTTCACACAGCCATGCCCAGAGCCCCACTCTTTGACTCTTAGTTTAAATCAGCCACCCTAATGACTCCCGATTCATTCAGCCACCCTAATTACCACCCTCCTGATTAGGTATTCTGACACAAATGCAGATTGAAGTCACTGATCTCTTGATCAAACACATGATGAAAAGGCACCGTTTGCTCTTTTACTATTTTGGTCCAGGGCTAATGTTTAAGTCCCTGGTCTCCCAACCTCAGGCTGCATTCACGCATCACTGAATATTGCAATGCCATTAACACTGCAGCATTCATTCATAAATGGATTACCCCTCCTGTCTGGACCAGCCACCCAGTTGTGAGTGACAGCTATAGTCCCAAGAGCACACAGGGTTAATCAGTGTGACGATGCAGCCCTAGAATGGTAGCAGGCTTCAGGTTCATGCACCCCTTTCTTGCCTTATGTACACACACACACCCCTTTCATGACTTCTTCTGACCACAGCTTAACAGATAGGGGCTCTGGGGCAAGTGATGCTCTGTCTTCTTTGTGCTTGGGGGGGGGTCAACAGTGGGTGGGCTTCTAGTGTCCTGGCCCCACTGGTGGTCCTCCTGATGGCACCTGGTATTTCTGGCCACTGTGTGATATAGAGTGTTGGACTGGATGGGTTTTTGGCCTGACCCAACATCGGTGTCTCTTATGTTCTTATATCCACTCTAATAATGGTTAATGACAGGATGTTTTGGAGGTCATTAATTCATAGGGTCACCATAACTCGGAAGAAATTATGGCACTTTACACACGCACAACAATGGTTGAAGCCAACCAGGACTGCCTTCAAAACCACAGCCTGCAATAGGCTTGGAAGTCAAGGTTTAGACACATCCCTGCGTAACATAGTTAATGCCAATGCATACATAATGCTACCCCACGCCCACGATTAAACAGCCACTACAGTACAGCACACAGAGTGGTGGGCCAGGACAGACTCGAGCTGAAATTTCTGCATGCCATGAAACTTATCAGTTGAGCCAGTCATTCTCAGCCTAGCCTCACAGGGCTGGCGTGAGGGTAAACTGAAGGAGTACAGAACCATGAACACACATGAATTATACTGAATGAGATCCTTGGTCCGTCAAGGTCAGTACTGCCTACGCAGACTGGCAGCCAGGCTCGCGAAGTGTCTTGGGTGGAGGTCCTTCGCATCACCTCCTACCCGATCCTTTTAACTGGAGATGCTGGGGATTGAACCCAGGTCCTTCCAAATGCAAAGCAGATGCTCTGCCACTGAGCCATGGCCTCTCTTAAGCTCTTGAAGAAAAGGTACTGGGAACGGCTGTAGCTCAGTGGGTAGAGCATCTCTGTTTGGATGCAGAAGGTCTCAAGATCAAGTCCCAGAATCTCCAGTTAAAAGGATCAGGTAGTAGGTGATGTGAAAGAGCTCTGCCTATGACCCTGGAGAGCTCCTGCCAGTCTGAGTAGACAACAGACCAACAGACCCTGATAGATCAAGGGTCTGACTCAGTATTAGGGAGCTTCACATGTTCATATAAATAATCGCAACCATAATTTGTGAGAAGGGATGAAAGGATAACAGTGGACAACCTAAACCAGCAAGACACTCCTAATCTCCAGCAACGGTTTGGAGCTCAAAAATGTTATTTCTGTTTAGCTACAATGAGGGCAATAAAGACATATTAACTAAATCACAACATATATATGTTGCCCTGCAACAAGGACATAACACTTTTCATTAGATTCATATAACAGCAGTACATCCCAAGGAAAGGGGGGCAATCAACAGAAGCTGATAATATAGTGCTCTGTGATCCTAAACCCATTTACAAGACACTACACATCTTTCACACAACATTCATCCTACACTGTCATTCCAGAAGAAGCCTAGCACATATGTTTATTTTGCTACCTGCCGTGAGAAAGGTGCAAGTCACACACTCGGACTGTACTTCACCAGCGCGGGCACAGAGGCTTTTAACTAATACCCAGAGACTACAGGAAACATCACATGATAGATCTACCACAGCACTACCATGCCGCATCTCATGCACCAAACCCACTTACAGCACTAAACCACACTCCATCAAAACTTGCAGCTAGACATTCGCACCTGTATTCCCTCTAAGCAGAGTTAGTGTGAGCTAGCTCACAGTTTTTAGCCTCCAGCTCACAGATTTTTGTCTTAGCTCAGGAAGGAGGGCTCCAGAGCAAACTAACTCATGCAGTAGCCAAATCACTCACTAGCAGCTTTAATGCCAGTGGCTCACAGAGTAGATTTTTTGCTCACAAGACCAATGCTCTCTCTAAGCTGTGGAGTCTTGTGAGCAAAAATTCTACTTTGTGAGCTACTGGCATTCAAGTTGTGAGCAAGCGATTTGGCTCCTACATACATTAGTTTGCTTTGGAGCTATCCTTCCTTGGCTAAGACAAAAAATGCATGAGCCGGAGGCTAAAAAACTGAGTTAGCTCACACTAACTCAGCTTAGAGGGAACACTGCACAAGACTCCACAGCTTAGAGGGAGCATTGTGCCAAGCAGTCCCTGGCTCTTCTCCCTTGTGAGCATGGGTGCATGAGGTGCATAAAATGGAGGTGAGGAGACGCAGCACTCTGGTTGCCCTTTGGGGACAAAAGTGGAGAATCAATCATATAAATAAATAAATACACACAGACACAGACATACACACACACACACATATATAGATATATATAATGCCGTCCCACGTAAAGCAGCTGTGAATTCCATGAGATTCCCAGGTATCTACGCTTAGAAATGACTTAAGGCTAGTCGCTCCCGTATCTCTTGGTTGGAAGAAAAGGCTTCCTCGAACGAGGTCGAAAAGTTGCGGGAGGCGCAATCCGCCACACGCTTCCCCGGCACTGAATCCCACCCAACTCTGCCGGACCCATCCCCGCTTAAGGGTGCGCAGGATGGGGACACAGAAATCCGTGTTCTTGTCCCGCTCGTTTGACAGGGTTTTTCATTCCAGCCATTACAACCTGCTCTCCTGCCAGGGAGCGGCGGCATCTCCCAGAGAGCGGGCAAAAGGCGGTCCGGTCCAAAGAGGACCTCAGGGCGACTCCCCGCCGTTGCGCTCCCCGACCGGGACGCCCCCTCGATCCAAGCCCACCGCAGCCGCCCCGACTTACATGCCCGGCCGAAGTTGCACCGCGGAGGAGCCGGGCGAGGCAGGCAGGCTGCAGAGGCTCATCATCAGGCACCAGAGCCACGCGCCGCTCGCGCTCATCGCGCCAGGAGACCGGCGGGGCTCAGCTGCCGGCGCCGCGACGCACCAGGGCAGGCAGCCGGGCCAAGGAGGGCATCGGGGCGCTCACGCGGGGGAGCATCGGGCGGGTTTCGAGGGGCTGCAGCCGAGGCGCCGCGGCTCCTGCAGCAGCAGCAGCCGCGCGAGGGAAGCGTCTCGGCCTCCCGACCCCCGCTCCCCACCAGCCTTCGCGCCGGCAACAGGCGCCCCGCGAACTCCACCTCGCAGCCCTCCAAATCTTTTAAAGCCTCGGCCGAGCGAATCAGAGACGCCGGGCTTCCGAAGCTCCGCCCCCACTCGGGGTGGGGGGGGGGCAAGTGCTGGGAGTTAAACGGCCCAGTAGAGCGGCTGGGTGGGGATTCGGACGAAGGCGCCGCGAGGTGTTTGTTGGGGCAAAAGCGGGCGGAGGAGGTCGCCGGCGGCAGGTAGCCTTCAGCGCGTTTAATCGCGCATGACCCACGCAGAGTTTCTCCCGTTCAGACTCGTAGGGATTAATGGGTTTAGAGACGAGAATAACTCTGTATGAGGTTCGAGTTTGAATCCAGTGGCACTTCTCTGTTGGTCTTAAAGGCGCCACTGGACTCAAACTGTGTTCTGTTACTTGAAACCAACACGGCTGCCCACCTGAAATCTTTATAGGATCGTGCTGGCATTGGTATAATTAATGCTTCTCTCCTTTGGTGGAGTCTCCTTTTGTTCCTTTGCACTCTTTCTTGCCCCCTTTCCCATATGCTGACCTGTCTGGCGCTTTAGGGGCTTGGACTAGATGACCCTGGAGGTCCCTTCCAATTCTGTGATTCTATGATCCTCCAGGTGAGGCCTGAATTACAACTGATCTCCAGGCTAAAGAGATCAGTTCTCCTGGAGGAAACGGCTGCTTTGGAAGGTGCACTCTATGGCATCTACCTTGCTGAGGTCCCTCCCCTCCCCAAAGCCCTCCCTCCTCAGGCTCCACCCCCCAAATCTCCAGGAATTTCCCAAACTGGAGTTGGCAGCCCTACTTATGCTGCAATGCTTCAGGGCTTTCATCTGTAGAAGCCCATAACTTTAAACTAGCTTGTTCTTGTATTCCCTTTTTCCTCCAGTAGTGTCTAGCTAGATTCAGCACCAATTTTGCACATTGAAATTGGGAGATTCCAGCCTCAGGCTGTGGTCAGACAACAGGCTTGGCACGCTCTGGCCCCACTTCTAATGTCTCCATTTCATTTTGTAATGGAGAGTTTGGATCAGACATCCCACCCTGAACACGCCTCACCATGTGCTCACTCAGTGGTTGACCATTCAGATTATTGCTGTGTGGTAACCATGGAGTGGGTGGTCGGGTGGCATCCTTTTTTACAAATTGTCTTTCATGCATGTGCAGAAGCATTCGTTCGAATCATCGCTCCATTTTGACAGCTCTGCAATCCCTCTGCCAAGTACTGTGGCCCCTCTCAGCCTCCTTTTGTCTCTCTTCCTTGGAATACATGGGGGAGAGGAGTGCAGACTTACATGAGAGTAGCCCCATTGACTTCAGTACATCTACCCTTGTGTCAATCATGGGATGCTCTCAAACAGCAGCTCTGAATCAGAGACAGAAGAGATGGTTTGGGGAGGGGATTTGTCACTCAAAAACAACTCCCCCAGGGGCTCCCGATCCAGAATGACTACTTGGGCACTTGCAAGCCGTGCTTGACAATGCTGGGGCACTTATGCGGTTATGCACACAGCACTAAGAAATCAAAAGGGGGGGCAAGTCGGAACAGAAGGTTCACACTCCCAACCAGCTTGATTTTGCAACAGGAGAATTCAGACAGCCGGAAATGCAGGGTGAAAGTGCAAACAACTGTAAAGACTTGACTTTCCCCAGTGCCTGATAACTCCAATTGGAATGGCTCAGAATGGGGTGGCACTGACTGGGGAACTGGAGGCAGATGTCACTGTTAGATTGTGCACTTTAAGTCCAGAAGGGAACTGCAAGGACATCGGCTCAAAGTGCCCATCTGACCGCAGCCTGAGATTCACATCAAGTCTCTCTCTGTCTCAGCTCCTCTCCTTTCCCCTCCCCTATTAAAAAATCCCCAAACGATTCTGGGCCATAATGATACCTCTAGCATCGGAAGAAGCGAGCTCTGACTCACAAAAACTCATACAGAAATAAATATTGTTCGTGTTCAAGGTGCCACTGGACTGCTATTTCACTTTACTACAACAAACAAACAGAGCTACCCCTTTGCAAAGTCTTTTCTGTCTTTACGCCCATGCATTCCCAGGTAACCGCTTCTGAGCTGAGAGGTTCTATTTAGTTCCACCAAGTCGCTGCTGACTTACGGTGACCATGTAGGGTGACCATGTAGGTAGATGCCTGCCTCTGCAAAGCAACACTGGGTTTCCTCAGTGGTCTCCCATTCAAGTCCTAACCAAGGCCGACTCTGCTTAGTTTCCGAGTAGGGTTGTCAGGTGCACTCACTTGGCCAGTAGGGCTGCCAAGCCACGGCGGGGGATCTGCATGTCTTCACAGTCCCAGGGTAAAAAGGTAAAGGTAAAGGTTCCCTTCCTCGAAAGCCAGTCGAATCCGACTCTAGGGTTGCGGTGCTCATCTCCGTTTCAAAGCTGAAGAGCCAGCACTGTCCGAAGATGTTTCCGTGGTCATGTGGTCGGCAGGACTAAACACCAAGGCGCATGGAATGCTGTTACCTTCCCACCGAAGTGGTACCTATTTATCTATTTGCAATTTCTAGCTTTCGAACTGCTAGGAGCTGGAACTAGAGACGGGAGCTCACTCCGTCATGCAGCACCTGGTTCTCGAACTGCTGAACTACTGACCTTTCACAGCCTGCAGTTCAGCGTCTTAACCACATGAGCCACCGTAGCCAGGGTAGGAACCCCAAAAAGAACGACAGAGGAAGTCATAAACTTCAGTATCGCCCTGACCTTGATAAACCAGACAAGCCTGATCTCGTTGGATCTTGGAAGCTAAGCAGCGCCAACCAAGGCCGTAACAAGGATTTTTGACTTTGGGGGGCATTTAAATAAGTCAGGGGCACCGCTGCCCACACACCTCAGGCTGTGTCAGGAGCAACAAGAGAGTAAAAAGTTTTTTTAACAAGTGATGAGAGAGAGAGAGAGAGGCAGGGCAGGGAAACAGCTCGGCTATGGCACACAAGAAAAATAAAATAAAATAAACCAGCTGGATGGTAAGTCAGGTGGCCTGGGTGGTAAGTCGAGGGGCTTGGCCCTGAGATGCCTCACTGTAGCTATGGGTCTCGTGCGACCCTGGCAAGTACTTGGAAGGGAGACCTCCAAGGAATACCAGGGCTGGCGATAGTAAGCAAAGGCAGGCAATGGCAAGCCAGCGCTCTGAAAAGTCCAAGCCCCACTAGGGGTCGCCAGAAGTCAACCATTACTTCCAGGCACACACACAATACACAAAAACCCTTCAGTATCAAGGTTGAATATTAATTACAGCTGATATATCATTTTTAACCTGGAACTAACTGGAGGCTCCCACTGTGTTAAAAACAAAAAGGAAAGGAAAGGAAACAGCCCAAAATACACCAGTGATCATTTTCCCCCAGCCAGTTACTAGCAAAGATTGATTAGCCTTTCAGCAAGGTGACTTTCAAAACCTGCCTGAGAACACTCGTAAAATATTGTTCAACATCCTTTGCAAACCAGCTTCTTTGTAGCCACGTATGACGAGCGTTCACTCGCAGACCGAGCCTGTGTGTGTTTACTCAGAAGTAAGACACACACACCCCCCGTGTTCACTCCCCAAATCAGTGTGCCTCGGATTCCAGGAGGAATTTATACATATATCAAGTCAGCAAAGGGCCATTAAAAAAATGTGTGGGTAGCAGATTCTCCGTAGAATGGGAAGCTTTGGTTCTGTTGTTGAGAGCATGAGCAGGGTGGTCCTGGTTATTTTCTTGGATGGGAAAATAACATGTAACGTTATTAATAATACTAGCAGTAAAGCCCGTTGTGAAAGCAATACAACGAGATCTAGAAAGAGGCTCTGGGACAGTGCTCTGGCTTTGGGCAAACAGTGTCAATTTGCTGTGGTGACCTCAGCAGGGTATAATGACAGAGTCCACTGTTTTCTCCAGAGGAACTTATCTCTGCTACCTGAAGAGCAGTTGTAATTGTGAGTGATCTGTAGCCCTCACCTGGAGATTGGCAGCAATTGTTACCCAGGACAAAATGGCTGGTTTGGAGGGTGTAGTCTATGGCATTCTACCTGTCTAAGGTCCCACCCCTCCGCAAACCCCACCCTCTCCAGGCTCCACCCCTCAAATCCCCAGGAATTTGTCAGCATGTAGTTGGCAACCCCATCTCCTTCCCAGCTAACCATCAACCTACCATTATCTGCCCCTTTGACTTCAGCTGACTTCTGCCCTCCCTTCTGCAGAGCAGTTGTAATTCTGAGTGCTCTCCAGCCTTCACCTGGAGATTGGCAACAATGGTTCCCTATGAGGGACTGACTGGTTTGGAGGGTGGAGTCTATGGCATTGTACCTGTCTGAGGTCCCACCCCTCCTCAAACCTCACCCTCTTCAGGCTCCATCCCTCAAATCTCCAGGAATTTCCCATCTGGAGTTGGCAACCCTATCAGGACTGGCCCCAATGTGTTTTCTCCCAAAGGCCAAAGTAGGTGACAGGACCAAGCTTAGTTGCCTACCAACAGGCACTGAGGGGAATGTAGGGTTGCCAGCTCTAAGGAGGGAAATACCTGGAGGTTTGGGGGGTGGATTCTGTAGAGGGCAGCATTGGGCGGGGGGGCGAGGCGGAAGGACTCAGCAGGTATAATGTCATAGGGTCTACCCTCCAAAGCATCCATTTTCTCCAGGGGAACTGATCTCTGTCATCTGGAGATCAATTGTAACAGTGGGAGATCTCCAGGTCCCACCTGGAGATTGGCAACCCTAGGGGAAAGTCAGCTGCACAGCAGGGGGTTGAA